AATACTGGAGTGATTTTTTGGTTGTTGGTGGAATGGAATCAACAAACTCCATGACCCTTACATTCACTCTAGCATGGCCATTGCTCGTTCCATCACGCAGCTGCGATATTCTGTAAAAACTCTGGAAAGGAGTCATCGAAACATAACATTCCACGCCCACCGTACCAAATTTCGTTGCCGTTCTTCAGATCCTACGGGGCTCTGTGTCAGGATAATACAAAACTAAGAGCGAGTCATACTTGGCAATCCAATTTGCAGTTTCTATGTGGACTAGTAACGTAACGACCATGTGATTCTGCGTTGCTCGATCGTTTAATGTGGTCGATGCGTTATCTATTCATAACCAGTTTTGCTCCGCCCGCTATCGCGCGCATCACACGGCAGGCTTTAGCGAAACTGGAGGGTCCATGGAATATCAGCATGTGGTACTCCATTAACCCCCTCACTATCAAATGTGTTAGATTTTTCCCAGTCTCGCTGAAGTCCATGGAGAATACGCGTGATAACGTCTGGAGCTGACCTGGCATATTTTTCTCACAACTGTAAACATCCACCATTCTTCCTGAATTCAGATAATTTAGCGGTGAATAGGATTGCAGTCAGTCTCGAAATGAAAATGAAATATGCCTATGTGAGGAGCTAAGGCTTATCATTTATTTACATTCACATGAATTTAGAACCGAAGGATTAGCGGTTTAATGAGTTTGGGCTTTCTTGATAGGAACGAAAGTTATCATTTGCTGAAGACTTGGTTGAATTCATGCAACAGACTGCAATTAAGTAGGCTGGTCATACAATGATACAGTGTGCACGTACCACTACAAATAGAATTTGTAAGTAGGGACGCTCTAGTGTCAGCGCAAGCACGTAACGGAATCGACGACTTTTGCGTTCTGACGCCTTATCAGCCCTTATCAGTTGTAACCACTTTCCATCACCTACCAACAATGTCCCCGTCCCACCCCACATGACACCTGCGAGTATGGACGCTCTGTAGTGTCAACGCGAGCTGGGTAATGGAATCGACGACTTTTGGGTTCTGACGCCCCTTATCAGCCCTTATCAGTTGTAACCACTTTCCATCACCTACCAACAATGTCCCCGTCCCACCCCACATGACACCTGCGAGTATGGACGCTGTAGTGTCAACGCGAGCTGGGTAATGGAATCGACGACTTTTGGGTTCTGACGCCCCTTATCAGCCCTTATCAGTTGTAACCACTTTCCATCACCTACCAACAATGTCCCCGTCCCACCCCACATGACACCTGCGAGTATGGACGCTGTAGTGTCAACGCGAGCTGGGTAATGGAAATCGACGACTTTTGGGTTCTGACGCCCCTTATCAGCCCTTATCAGTTGTAACCACTTTCCATCACCTACCAACAATGTCCCCGTCCCACCCCACATGACACCTGCGAGTATGGACGCTGTAGTGTCAACGCAAGCTGCGTAACGGAATCGACGACTTTTGGGTTCTGACGCCCCTTATCAGCCCTTATCAGTTGTAACCACTTTCCATCACCTACCAACAATGTCCCCGTCCCTCCCCACATGACACCTGCGAGTATGGACGCTGTAGTGTCAACGCAAGCTACGTAACGGAATCGACGACTTTTGGGTTCTGACGCCCCTTATCAGCCCTTATCAGTTGTAACCACTTTCCATCACCTACCAACAATGTCCCCGTCCCACCCCACATGACACCTGCGAGTATGGACGCTGTAGTGTCAACGCAAGCTGCGTAACGGAATCGACGACTTTTGCGTTCTGACGCCCCTTATCAGCCCTTATCAGTTGTAACCACTTTCCATCACCTACCAACAATGTCCCCGTCCCACCCCACATGACACCTGCGAGTATGGACGCTGTAGTGTCAACGCAAGCTGGCGTAATGGAATCGACGACTTTTGCGTTCTGACGCCCCTTATCAGCCTTATCAGTTGTAACCACTTTCCATCACCTACCAACAATGTCCCCGTCCCACCCCACATGACACCTGCGAGTATGGACGCTGTAGTGTCAACGCGAGCTGGGTAATGGAATCGACGACTTTTGGGTTCTGACGCCCCTTATCAGCCCTTATCAGTTGTAACCACTTTCCATCACCTACCAACAATGTCCCCGTCCCACCCCACATGACACCTGCGAGATGGACGCTGTAGTGTCAACGCGAGCTGGGTAATGGAATCGACGACTTTTGGGTTCTGACGCCCCTTATCAGCCCTTATCAGTTGTAACCACTTTCCATCACCTACCAACAATGTCCCCGTCCCACCCCACATGACACCTGCGAGTATGGACGCTGTAGTGTCAACGCGAGCTGGGTAATGGAATCGACGACTTTTGGGTTCTGACGCCCCTTATCAGCCCTTATCAGTTGTAACCACTTTCCATCACCTACCAACAATGTCCCCGTCCCACCCCACATGACACCTGCGAGTATGGACGCTCTAGTGTCAACGCAAGCTGGGTAATGGAATCGACGACTTTTGCGTTCTGACGCCCCTTATCAGCCCTTATCAGTTGTAACCACTTTCCATCACCTACCAACAATGTCCCCGTCCCACCCCACATGACACCTGCGAGTATGGACGCTCTAGTGTCAACGCAAGCTGGGTAACGGAATCGACGACTTTTGCGTTCTGACGCCCCTTATCAGCCTTATCAGTTAACCACTTTCCATCACCTACCAACAATGTCCCCGTCCCACCCCACATGACACCTGCGAGTATGGACGCTGTAGTGTCAACGCGAGCTGGGTAACGGAATCGACGACTTTTGCGTTCTGACGCCCCTTATCAGCCCTTATCAGTTGTAACCACTTTCCATCACCTACCAACAATGTCCCCGTCCCACCCCACATGACACCTGCGAGTATGGACGCTGTAGTGTCAACGCGAGCTGGGTAATGGAATCGACGACTTTTGGGTTCTGACGCCCCTTATCAGCCCTTATCAGTTGTAACCACTTTCCATCACCTACCAACAATGTCCCCGTCCCACCCCACATGACACCTGCGAGTATGGACGCTGTAGTGTCAACGCAAGCTGCGTAACGGAATCGACGACTTTTGCGTTCTGACGCCCCTTATCAGCCCTTATCAGTTGTAACCACTTTCCATCACCTACCAACAATGTCCCCGTCCCCCCCACATGACACCTGCGAGTATGGACGCTGTAGTGTCAACGCGAGCTGGGTAATGGAATCGACGACTTTTGCGTTCTGACGCCCCTTATCAGCCCTTATCAGTTGTAACCACTTTCCATCACCTACCAACAATGTCCCCGTCCCACCCCACATGACACCTGCGAGTATGGACGCGTACGCTCTAGTGTCAACGCGAGCTGCCCCCCCCCCGCCCCCGGGCGCCCCCTCGCCCCCCGGGGGGGAAGTTGTTTAATGGGGGGCACACTTTTCGAACGGAGACACTATTGGTATTTTTTTTGACCCCGGGCACCCCTATCGGGGGTCTATTAAGTTGGTTACAGAAAAAAACCACTTTCCATAACCTACCAACAAGTGTCCCCGTCCCACCACACATGACACCTGCGAGTATGGACGCTGTAGTGTCAACGCAAGCTGCGTAACGGAATCGACGACTTTTGCGTTCTGACGCCCCTTATCAGCCCTTATCAGTTGTAACCACTTTCCATCACCTACCAACAATGTCCCCGTCCCACCCCACATGACACCTGCGAGTATGGACGCTCTAGTGTCAACGCGAGCTGGGTAATGGAATCGACGACTTTTGCGTTCTGACGCCCCTTATCAGCCCTTATCAGTTGTAACCACTTTCCATCACCTACCAACAATGTCCCCGTCCCACCCCACATGACACCTGCGAGTATGGACGCTGTAGTGTCAACGCGAGCTGGGTAACGGAATCGACGACTTTTGCGTTCTGACGCCCCTTATCAGCCCTTATCAGTTGTAATCACTTTCCATCATGTACCACCATTGTCCCGGGACCACACTACATAACACTTGTAAGTATGGACGCTCTAGTACTAATATGATTAGCGACCACGCGCTGCTTACTCTTCGCGCGCTGCTCCGTTTTGGCCGCTTATAGATCAGCTATTATCGTCGTTATCAGTTCCTATCACGTACCACTCGAGTCCCCATCCCACCCCCTATAACATTTGTAAGAACCATGGCGCTATCGTTGCTGTGACCCGAGCTACGAATTTCGTGACAAACACACACACACACACAGACCTACACACACACACACACACAGACATACTTAGCGAATTATATATAGTAGGATAAAGCACAAGATAGCAAAATCGCAGATTCGCAAGATCGCAAAGTGTGGCTCGACTCTAACGCGCGTTCGGCTATCTATGACCAGTGGCGTTTCCGCTGTAGCAGTGATTTCGTAACTCATCTAAGCACTTTAAATATTTTTGATTATATTTTGCAAAAGTGGTACTCTTGAGTAATTGTTCAGCTCATCGAAGAAGTTGCACAGAATTGTCGCTCACGAACACTTCTTCTTCTGAAGCGAATCGATGTCACTGTCAACTCATTTCTATGGTATGCCTTGCAAGCTGCCTTCCTCTCATTGAGTGTTTCTTTATAAGAACTGCTTAGTGTCTCATCTACATATATCTTGTTTCAGGTGTGATAGGATCAAATCGCGAGAAGCTGAAATTAGAGAACTTTTTGCTAAGAGGCGCAGTGCTATGTCGCACGTAACACCTCCGAATGTTGCAGATCTGTTAGGCGCTAGCCAAGATTTGCTAAGAGTAGAACAAGCAAGCAGTGCAAGATTGAGGTTTCTGATTTCTCATAACTGCATTACTTATATATTGTTTCACCTGTAGGCTGAAGCGATCGAGACAAAAAATTGATTTTATCTTAGAAAGAACACACGCTCAAAAATACATCCATTAGCTCTGGCTGCGCGGCCGACCGATCGAGGAGGACGGACAAATGAAATGATTGGAGACATCGCCTCAGAGACAGCTGGTGGAGAATTCTTTGTTCATTCTTTTTCTTCTTTTTGTTCAATATGCTGAACCTGTTTATAGTTCCCGATTTCTTCCTTTTATCGTATTCTATTTTTCACACGGCTGTTCAGCGTTGGGCGTCGGTGGAGCGTGCTGTGGTTTAAACGTACGCTAGCTTGCGATTGATGTCAATAACCTTTATTCTACTTACGTTTCGGGCCTTGTCGCCTTCGTCAGAGCCTGGAAAGCCAAAGATAAGTGCGACTATCACTTATCTTTCAACTTTCCAAGCGGCAAGGCCGAAACGTGAGCCGAATAAAGGTTATGCCATCTTGGTTGCGGTTTTAATAAACTTGACCGGAAGCACTACAAACTTTGCCAAGATTCACTGATAATCGAACGTGGATATAAAAAAAAGTTGTTAGAAGAACGACTAACCCCCTTTTGAAGCATATCGATTATGTCGACAGGTTCAAATTTGCCGCTCGGTTTGGGGACAGCAGCCGCTTTAAGCGCAGAGGTGAGGTAAGGTGTAAGCTCCTTGTCGCCTTCTTCCTGAACAAGTTATTACAACGCTCTCTCAGGAAGAATTTGAAACATGATTCAAGGTTTACCGTGATGGGTTGAGAAAGAGCATCACAAGCGAACAACCGAGCAGCTTTTATTTCGCTTAGAAGAAAATTCAGAAGCAGGGCTTTCCTTTCGCTGGTGCTCAACCTCTCTTCAAGTGATCCACACGTTATTTCTTCATGAGGACATTCTAAAAAACAGTTTCTTGAACTGATCTGAACAAACCAAAACCCAACCCATGCAATGGTTCTTAAAAGACTTTTACAACGAAAGAATTCTTACGTGTAAGATCTAAACCATCGCTAGTCGCGAACGATCTTAAATTCAGGGTTTTAGGACAAATGAAAACTGAACAATTTGAAGGTCACAGGCGACAAGTGTTGGAAAGTGGCAGGTGTTTAGAATCAAGCGATACGACCAACTTGAACCCACGTAATGAGGTGCACATGGCAGAAAGATCTAGCTGTTGCTAAGAACATGTGTCACCTGCCGCAGTAAACCGTTGCTTTGTTTTTGTATAAATTGGCTTCCTCATGTCAACCTTTAAATCATCACCAGAGCGCTACGTTTCAATGGTACTTCAGAAGCTAAACCATAAGCTAATATTAGAACAAAGAAGTGCAGTGAGAAACGAAGAAAGAAATCTCTGAGTCTGAAACTAAGGAACACAGGAAATGGCGGAAAGTGGTTGAATGGAAGGAAGTGATGAAATGTATAGGGGACAAAGCCACCTTTAGAAAATATTTCATGACACCTTAGGGTGTGGTTCACTAGGACAGAAAGCGACTTTTTCGCGTTTCGCAGCGCGAAACATTTTTCGCTGCGGGAACCTCGGGTCCACTGATTTTCGCTGCGGGAACCTCGGGTCCACTGATGATCAGAGGTGGACCTGAGGTTCCCGCAGCGAAAAATGTTTCGCGCTGCGAAACGCGAAAAATTCGCTTTCTGTCCTAGTGAACCACACCCACACGCCTATGAGGACTCTACGAGCGGAGTAAGTGGCGAATTGGAAAAAGGTAGGTATTAGCAAAATATAAGTTTGTGCTAAAGATCTAAAGGGCTGTGCACCATGTATTTTTGGAGCTTCTATACGGAGTTGTCCGAAAAACTCAAGAACTACCTCCGGGAAGTACTATTTTTAAGAAAAAAAAACTTGCGGCTGAAAACATTTGGGAGTACGTTACATCAAACTTTAGCAGAATAAAACGCATGCGTTTTGCTTGAAGGCACATTGTGCTATGGCAGAAGCGAGTAATGCTGGTGAAGGTAAAGCAGCCAGATGACTCCTGTTATGGTCGGATGGTAGTCAGAGAAGCTTCAAGAAACACTAGGCACCTAGGCAAGGGAAAATAGCGAAAGAGAAGCCGCAGATACCGATACCGTAACGGCCGATGCCAGCCTTCGCGACTGGGGTGATTTCACACAAGTGATGGAAGCGATTGATAGCTTAAGCGATTGGTCGCTCCCATCATTTGAGCGAAATCGCTCCAGTTGCAAAGTCTGACATTGGCCAATAATGGGCGTGCACGGCCGCTTTGAATGTCAATGGTTGCGAATGCCAAGCCCCAGCAAGCTTGCCCTTTATTGATCGCAAGCTAGCACTACCTTGTCGTGCGGAATCCGGCATCTTCTTTGAAGAGATTGAACCAATAACAATTACTAGATGAAATTCCAGTGTTAACTCAAATATGTAAAGACTTATGTAAAAATTGCGTAACGATTACATTTTAGCGATGACGACCGACCGGTCCAACGACTACGGAAAAAAAAAACGGCAAAAAAAAAAAAAATTGTGAACAATTTGAGAATAATAGGTTGATTTGTAGTAAAGTGCATGTGTGCCGCTCCTTAGAGTGGCTTTCCCCGTTTATTCCACTCGCGAGCGTTAAATAACACCTCAACGTAGTAACCATGCCAGTCGTTATTAGGTTGTAAAAAATTGTAGCAGATTATTCTGTACAAAAAATGAAACTGTGAGCTACTTTTCCCTAAGCTTGAGTTTACGAACTCTGTAACTCGACTCACAATGGTTCTTGATAACAGCAACTTCGCGGCGCTACGTAACTCGGCCGCTTTGCGGCCGCGCCCCAATCGCGAGCAAGTGAGGCCTACATTGAACTCGCTCAGCCGCCTGAAAGGAACGTTCTTCGAAAGATCATTTATTAATGTTCCCCTACAGCGCACTAGAGTCCAAATCAAAATCTTAATTGTAACTGAATTGTCGATGTTGTGAGGTAGAGAGATCTGAGATAGAATAAAAGGATTGTAAAGGTGAGTAAAACCATTGCATCGGTATACACTTCCATTGTGTATATTCGCAACGAGAGAAGACGCTACTATCTAAGTTAAACGTATATAGTTCTGAATAAAAATCCCGTAAGTGTAAACAATGTAAAAAAAATGTAAACTGATTGATTTATTGGTTGCGCTCAATATATTAAGCTGGTGTCAAGCCAGCGCCTAGTCGCTCGATTCGACTTACTGCAAAAATCGCAAAGTCGCACTTGCACATTTGAAACACCGAATATGAAAGAAATACATTCATGAATAGTCGTTATTCAACCATCACCACCAAGCAGGAATGGTTGAGGCATTGGNGAGCACCTCGCTGTATTAATCGGGCACTTGCGATTTCTGTGATCCGCCGCGCAATGCGCGGTCTCTGACACCAGCTTTAAAGGCATGCCCCAGGATCGCAGTGTGGCTCTTACACACGAATGTGAATGTATCGGTGCCAAGTGGGCCGGCAGTGAAGAAAAAAGGAAAAGAATCCGTCGAAAACGCTCAGGTTGAGGGCTCACTCACCTTCCTAATTGGCTGTGCTAAAGGAACGAGAGACTAAGCGCGAAAGAGGAGAGTATGAGGCGAGAGAGCGCATCAGATGAGAGAGACAACGGCCTGATAAGAGAGCTCGTTCGCTGCAGCTCGAGCAGCTTACTTTGCAAGCCCAAAGCGTTCTTGTCGGTCGAATTCCGTGCACGTGAACGCCACATTTGTGATTGTCCCCTAGGGTTCTATACTTCTGACCGAAGAGAAGAGTTATAAAAAACCTCTGCCTGGGTTGTGCCTTAACAACCAGGACGAATTCATGATGAAAAAGCAACCCACTTACCAATTCAGCAAGAAAGAGCTCATCTAGAGATCTAAGCTTTCGCATTTCCCACCAAATGTGGACGCTTCTGTATTTAGAGTGCTTTCAGCTTCCCAGAGTAGTGTACAAATTGCTCAAACCTTCGCAAATCGCTTTACAACTGATAAATATAATCGAACCCGCAGTTCACTCAATCTTGTAAAGTCGATTGTCAGATCGCCGTAGTAAACTCCCACTACTCATAATCTTTTATCATCTAAATTTCAATTGCTCAATAAAAACGTGATTATCACAATATTGTAGTGACACCTGTGAAACTGCAGAAGAATGGATTACCGAACATCCAGACGTACAAAGCGGTAACTGATCCAATTGAGTATGCAATAGGCCTTGCGAGTATTCCGGTATCTTAGCGACGTCATAGTTGCGATTGAGGCGGACCTTACCTCGAATCGCTGGATCGAGGTTGCGCCAGCGAATGAACGTTGCAACAGAGAACCCGGACTTATGTATCGAATGACGCGCTGCCCTATCGAACTATGTCCAATCGACTCCCATTCTTTGAAAGTGCGGTTTTCTTTGAACGTTGGCAGGTCTCACATTCCACTGTTCAAACTGGTACTCTGTTCATCGCTGGTGCATCGTTCGATTCGCTGGCACAAAGTCGATTCGCTTGGTCGACGGACTACTTGGACTTACAAGTAGCCCTTTGAACCGCCTCTGCGTTCTTTGGTGGGTCCCTCACTTCTCCAAGCTTAGTACTGGGGCATTCAACCCGTTTCAATGTGTTCCTAACAATCGCACAGGACCATTGAAGAAAAATCAAGTTGTCCGTAAACCGTGCAACGTTCGATTCGCTGGCGCAACGCTCGGATCCAGCGAATCGCTCGATTCGCAAACAATGACATCGACCTTAAAGCGCTGCATTGCATTTCAGAGGTGCCATTGATTTGATTAGGCTTTGTGCTGACTCGTTTCTCCTTAATTCCACACCTTATGAGTCATAATGAGTCATATTTTGCTCGTGAATCTACACATGTGCATCTCACAACAGCACAAGCAAGCGACTGACGATCTCAATAAAACGCAGTCGGGTGCAAAGAACATTGCGGCTAGGGAATAATTCAGTAGATTGTGGAAGAATCGCTCTAGCCTTATAACATATTACGTCGATGACTAATTTGAAAACAAAAACATTTTCTAAGCGAACTCGTCAAACAATCATAAAAAGCCATTTAAACAGACTGCCCTCCATAAAAGCTCAAAAGATCAACGAAGGAACATGCATCTAAGCTCCATCGATTCCATTTTGGAAAAGAGCCTTTGAATGACTTTAAGTCATACACACCAAACCCCATCCACCCGAGGTGCTAGCGAGTTTTGTAAATGGTTAATTTACGTACAAACCAGACTTGATGATAGCCAGTGAAGGATGAAATATGAATCGTTGAAGCATTGCATTTGAAGTGCTGATTTATCTTTGTGAGGCCAACTCTTCCTGCTCATAAACTTGACAATTTTTTGGTTCTCACTATTTTCCATACAAATGTTCTTCAGAGAAAGTTTCTGTCCAGGTCATCCTGACATTTCATATGTTTGATCATAGGCTGCTCGCGTCCTGGGAATCGCGCTTTCCGAAATTCGAGAAATCGCTCGCTTTCGTTTTCACTGGATGAAATAAAAGGCCGTTGTCGAAATTTCGAGTCAACCACGCCGATTCGCATCTTTTGAACAAACGTTCGACAGTACTTGGAGACCCCGCGGCGAGAATCGACAAGAGATCGTCGTCAATGACAACTTCACCTAGAAGTATGCGACGTCATTTTAGACGTAGGCACATCTTTTGGATTGCGCTGAATGTGCGTACGGCAGAAATCGATGTTGAGCGCTCTTCGACGTAATTACCGAGAGTTATGATCGGGTAAGAGAACAACCTCAGATGTCGCGAAATGGAGTTGCCGTATCTGATGTACTGGTGTTTAAATGAGGCGTTGATGATCTTACCGCACAATGCCAGCCACAAACCCAAAAATTTTTCGATTCTTTCGGAGATGGATAGTCTGCTGCGCTCTGCAGTTGCTGAAGCCGTTCGTGAAGGTCTTGACGGCCGACGCCTGGCTACAGCGAAGAAAACCATCATGCATCGATGTCGGCATCTCAATTGTGTCCTGACGGAACGTGATGTTACGGAAGCACTGAGAGAAGAGTATCACAAATTGGAGTTCAATGGAAAATGAATTGAGGTGAGTTTCTCGCGGCAAGACGTGTCGTAGTTGCGGGCTTTTGGTTAGGAGCCCTCACAGTGGCCTTAAAAATCAATACCATATGCGCCATCCGTTGCTGCTTCAGTATTTGGTTCCATATTTGATACTACTAGGTCCGCCATCATTACACGTCTCGCCTCAGAAACAGAGTATATGTTTTCGCGTCTGTCCGGTGAAATCGCCTGTTCTCTCTTGTCGCTAATGCATTCTAGGATGACATTTAACACATTGACGACAACGCGAGTTTTGGCTTTTTTGGCCACGTGGGACCGGGCGATTTTGCGGAGCGCGGCCGCCTCAGGTCGTTCAAGCAGATTTTGAGTGATAAATACATAAATAATGATCAATACAAAACCAGATCAGTAAATTTAATGAGCACAACCTACCCAGGGGTACAGTAGTGGAATTTCGATCGAAAGACATGAAATAACAATGAAAAAGCGAAATTTGTCAGAACTAGCTGCAATGGACCTTAAAAGCAATTTTACGTTGATTATTCCAATCAAAACACACATATTGTCATCCCTAAGGTTCCTTATCTACTTCTACTACTATTTAAATCTTCACATTAATAAAAGAAAAAGTAAACGAAAAATTTATTGAAACTGAAGATTTCGTATGGTTCAGAAATTTCCTCTCAAATTAGGGCATACGCGACCCTTCTATGGGTCACTATGTTGGTAGCAGGTTTCTCCATAGAAGAAATACAAGAAACTTCTAAAGAATCAGGCGTGCGCGAAAAAATGAGTGTAATGGGTGCGGGGGATATATATCCCGCACGGTCCGACATGGCCTGCAATGCGCGGGATATACGCTATAGCGCTTGTTATTTCACAAAGTGCTGCTTTGGCTTACATATAATTATCTGTTTCACGTCTGCTGTGTGATTTTGGACTTTTCTTTACTTTTTGGATCTTTTCCTCTATTCTCCCTTCAGAGATCTTATTTTCTTTCTCGAAATCGATGGAGAAGTTATTACGTTCTCGGATCCTCTCCAGCAGCGAATACGTCGGAGTATTTGGTCCAATACTGGGTGTGAAACTCTCTTTGCCAGAACACATGATGGAGTTTGATGTCGAGAAACGACAACCTATGTGAGCCATGCTGTGACGAAATCCGGTCATTAAAAGATTAATAAATATTAGAGCAATAATAGAATGCAGAAAGTATCTGTATAGACTTGAAGGCAGTCTGCGATCAGAGTTTTTAGTTAATAAATTTAGAATCTTGCTCAAAAAGCAAATGTTCCAGGTGTGAACTGTCAGCGAAGAGTAAAAAAAGAAGAAGAAACCATCGAGAATAGTTGAAGTCGAGGATAGAGAAGACACGAGAGAGCACACCGTACGAGAGGGCGCAAACACCTCGCGATGGGTGACCATGGAAGCAAACTGAAGCTCTCCAACAAGGCTCTGGCACCCTTTCTACGCATTTCTGAATCGTATTACGGCAATAACCCTGAGCTTGCGGATTTTCAGTAGCCATCCACATAATGGATCATTCAAACAAGCTAATTGCGGAGGGTGCCTTCAATTAATATTGAGCCATTTCGAGGAACATCAGCAAATACAGCAGTTGGAAGTTTACTTCGCTAGAAAGACTGAGTCCTGGATTTAGTCATATTTGTGTCAGGATTTAGGGATTACCTTATCATATTCTCACTAACCTACGAGTTTTGCTATACCTCTTGTCGCCAAGACTTGTAGGAAACAGTGTCCGTTACCAGGGTCAACCGTCACGTTGGACCGATTTCAAAATTTTTACGACCCCCCCCCCTCTTGGAGAGTCTCCATACGACCCCCCGCATTCATTATGTACTGTACACTGCTAAGGAGAAAGCTAACGGGGGGAAATAAGTGCAATCTACAAAAAATCTAAAGACACTTGGCTTGAATTCAAACACAGTTAGCAGACGAGCTCTAGTTTCCTGATATCCGGTAATTTACTAATGCACAACATCGCAAAACGAACTGCCTTCATTAGTTGCTAAACAGTACTGCCCTTTAGTTCGAATGGCGCTTTGCCTGCCTTTCATGAATGGGCGTTCAAATCACAAAAATTTCCATTTCGATATGCAAGCGCATATCAAACGAGTGCATGGCGCATCTCAGAGCATGAGAGTATACAGCAGAAGTGTCCGATTGGAGCACGGGAGCGTTGCATTCGCATTGGCGCGCGCAATCTTCCCCTCGGCGCAGCGCGGGCAGCGAGAAACCGACTATTCAACTTTCAAATAAACGTAATTTTGTTCAATATCAACATTTCTTGAATTGCTAAGTAGATTTGTAATCTACAATACTGCTTGTTTCAGAAGGTAACCACGGTTATGCTTCATCTTCAAAACTGCGTCAGTTATGGAGGTAGAAAACAGAGAATTCACAGAAATGCACACTTCGTCCTTTAAAAGGTTGTAACTTTCTTCAAAGAAGGAATTATGAGGAGCGGTAAGAAAAATTGGAAAGCTCAGACTGTTTTCTTTCTAAAAAGTGCTCAAGCTTTTGCAAAAACTCTTTCCTTCAAAAAATTGCCCCGTTGGACCGTTTTTTTTCGCAAGACCAGGTTTTTTGGCTTCCAATGGCTATAACTTTATTCAAATTCCACCTTCTGCGATTCTTGTCCCCTGGGTTGAAGAAGAAGGTTAGAGCTTTCTAACAAATACTTGAACTCCTCTCAAAGTTGAAGGAGTCAAAAAATCGCCCCGTTGGACCGTTTTGAGAAATCGCGGACCGATTTTTTGCAGAGCGCTGGTTTTTTGGCTTTAAATTGTTATAACTTTTTTCACATTGAACTTTTTGCAGTTCTTGTCCCCTGGATTGGAGTAGAAGGTTGGAGGCTTCCAACGAATACTTTTTCTCTTCCCAAAGTTGAAGGAGTCAAAAAATCGCCCCGTTGGACCGTTTTTTTTTCATGAATTTTCGGCGCTACTCTCCTGAAAACACAGGTTTTCAACACTTAAACACTGACAACTCTCTTCAAACTCAATTTTATCGGGAATTATGATACCGTGACATCGCACGAGCTCTGTGCTTCATTACAGATGCTAAACCATTTCAAGAATTTGCCGACAGGCAAATATTTTTGTTCCCAAACTTTTCTTGTAGCCCTTTAGCAGTCAATCTACCAAAGAGGTCACTCTTTTATTAACTTAGGTCCAGTTTGAAGGCATTGGTTCACCTCTAGAATTATATTTGTGTACGTGCGCAGTCAAATATGGATACTTTCGCAGTAGACTCTTCTGCTCTGATGTGCGCCATGCACTCGTTTGTGCTTAATAATTGAAGAAGCACTCACAAGATTAACCTCTCCCCTTCTGTCGCGAGAACTAACGTCTTGATTAAAATCGTTCGATGGTCCCAGCAAGAGCCAACAGCTGCGAGCTTCATCACAACACACATTAGGTTCCTTATAGCGAAAACCACCTCTCATCTACACCCAAAAACCTTCTTCGTACTGCAACGTTGACTCCTGCGAATACGACCCCCCCCCCTCTAGCGTCGGCCAAATACGACCCCCCGTTGGACTTTGTCCAACGGACGGTTGACCCTGCCTGGTAAGCCTTGCAAACTGCTGAACATTGACGCGATTCCTAACTGGGCGCTCACACCTTCATATTGCTGAAGTAGACATCCTCAAGATTTTCAAGCAGTGGCGTCTCGGCAATAATTCTCGATGAGAGGCTTCAGCTAGTGGAAGAAGCGATGCTAGAAATGGGGGGTTATAAGTTCGTACCCACCACTGGATGCGTACGTTAAATGCCCGCTGTACAACATCTGTGACTTCGAATAAAAGTCGAACGTGTGGCGCAATCCGAGGAGATGATCGGCACTCACACCAAATTTCAGTCTTTATAAATCAAAAGGTTGCGTTTTACTCAGCAATTCGAGAAACATACGCTCAAAATTGGGCTTAAAAATGCTTCGGGCCATCGAACATTCAAATGAAAAAACATGTAAGGCTCTGAAACACTGAGCCTCTCAGTGCTTCTGCTAAACAGGAAATTACGATTTTCTAAAATCTGTTCTTATAACGTCGGCATGTCTTGGAAGAGGGTAAACCTGCGCTTGCCAGAATTTGAAGTAGGTAATGAGTCGTATATGAGGTTGGCGAATGTTAAAAGGTAGAAAAAGGGTAAGGCGTATTTTGGAACTTAAAGGGGGGAGAGGAGGGTCGTGTTCGGCAGCTTTCTAACGATTCTGAAGAAAATTCACAACTAAAGTATAAAAGTAGGACAAAAAATCGGTAGCATAGCAGTTTGCCCGCTTCATTCCCCTTTCTCTTCTCCACTCCCTGTCGACGGCGGTTTCGGAGGAAAAAACTGGGCGGGCTTGGAGGTGTCAACTGGTCTTACTGGTCTCACGATCAACCGCTATAGAAACAGCCATCATTGGGAGGAGGCGTGGCCGAAGTGTGCTGAGGGTGACCTGGTTACCCCTTTCACAGGCGATTTAGGCGGGATCATATCGAGACCCCTTCTAGTAGGAGGAGGGTCGTCAAAGTTTTGCAATTGGATCATCGAAAGGTTGCCCCCGGTTTTAACTTTGTTTGTTTTCCTGTGCCTTTTGGGGGTTGTCGTGTGGAACATTGATAACGGTCGAAAACTTCAGCGCATTTATAAATATTACACTGAACATCTTGATAAGGCCATAAAAAAACGATACCATAAAAAAAACCGTAGCTTATGTGACAAGCCGACGCTAAGCAAAAAAACCTTTCGTGGTACTCCGTAACAGTGTTATGTCAGATGCTTCAGGCAAACCAATGCTTATGAGCGTTCACCCATTTCTTTTAAATCTCTCATTCTTCGTGTTTATTGGCTCCGTGACAGGTCATCACTACGTGACGGGCATAATGGATGTACATTGAAAAGATGATAAAGAGGCCTTTGTGCCCATAACAAATAAAAACGTGAAGCTCGAGCGTAAGCAATCTTTCTTTTTCTTGGAGTGCGCCACGCATGGGTAGTCCTACACAGAAACGCGAATGCATTGAGTGCCGATTGGCCTATACAGGGTGGCTACTAAATATTGGCGCATGGTTTATTGATCATATTTCCAAAAAGAGAAGCTATCATATCTTCAGAAGTTTATTTTCATATACAATAAAACATGAAAATTCATTACCAAAGAAAGTGCTCGAGATGGCCTCCTTTGGTAGCGATACAGGCTTGAAGTCTCTTTTCAACTGACATCACCGTGGGCCGCAAGTAGCTGACGTCGGCGTGACGTGAGTAGATCTTCAGACCAGAAGTGGCGCACGATTTGCAAAACGACAGGCAGTTGTTGGATCTTGCTAGCAGACATTCTGCTCGCCTTGTGTACACACACCCCCCCCCCCCCCCCCCCCCCCTAGAACCGTTTTTCAGACTTGTCATGGTTTGGGCAGGAATTACTTCTGAAACCATGACACCGCTTGTCTTTGTGGATGAATACATCAAAGCCAGCGCCCAGATCTACCCGGAAACAATTTTCACGTAATGCCCTTCTTCCAAGGACTCTTTTGACCTTCAGCGAACGTCATTGCATTCTTCAGCAAGACAGGGCGCCTCCACATGCCGCAAAATCAATGTTGGAGAACTGTGACCGTCATTTTCCAAGTTACCGGCACAAAATGTTTGGCCATCTAAGTCGCCCGATTTGAACCAATTGATTTGGCGGTGTGGGGCTTCTTGAAGCAGAAGATGCCTTCTGAGCAACGTCGAAGTTTGGACTCCCTGAAGGCTTCCTTGGAGGAGGCGTGGAAGGAGCTTGACGTCAGCTACTTGCGGCCCACAGTGATGTCAGTTGAGAAGAGATTTGAAGCCTGTATCGCTGCCAAAGGAGGCCATTCGAGCACTTTCTTTAGCAATGTACTGCCATGTTATAAGGTATATAAAGATAAACCTCTGAAGATGTAAAAGCTTCTCGTTTTAAAAATATGGTCAACAATCCATGCGCCAATATATTTAGTAGCCACCCTGTATAATGACCATATTGGTGGAGCCAGCCGATGTGCAGCTCAGCGTTTTCACCCTCCCAGACATGTGTGGTTCCAATTGCCTGAACTCCGGAGTGCGGAAGTCTAGGCTGACCTTAACGAAACTTGATAGTGAATTCAACCCCGTACCGCGCACATGGGAAATGACGACACTTACCACTACACCACGTCCGCCCTTGGATTGAGAGTAGTACCTGACAGGAGACCTGTCGCGCGGCGAGAAGGCAGAGACGCACACTGGTCAGCGGGCGAGTCGCCAGCGCGTAGTATACAACGTGACTTATTTTCTGTACATCCTATCCAATTTGACTCTGAACTGCTACAGCACGCGCTGCAGCTCGTCCATTGGCTGCCTGCGTCCCTGTTTTCTCACCGCGCGACGGGACGTTTTTCAGTGTACGCTGAGGTACTAAAGGTTGACGGACTACTTGAACTCAGCCCTTTACCGCCTCTGCGCTCTCTAGCGGGTCCCTCTCCTCTCCAAGGCTTAGTAGTCCTAGGGCATTCTCTAATCGTCTGTGCTCTAGCCATCGCGGCAGGACCATTGAGGAAAAATCAAGTAGTCCGTAAACAGCCCTATTTGGGACGTATTGGTCATTTGAGTTCATTCCATTTGTGAATTAGCGTCCATTCAGCATGGAAAAGCTGAGGAGGCAGACTGCGTCTCAAATATGTAATGCACGTACCCATTAGTGCAGGTGGGGTCCATCTGAAACGGTCATTGCGTACAAAATGAATGTCGAGAGCGAAACTGCGCGCACAAGCGATAAAAACGGCATTCAACAAAACAGCAGATCCATATCGATTGTTTCTGCGAATGATTTCATTAGAGCGACTCTGCAGCTGGACAATGACAATTTGCACTCTTTTCCACGCGGGTTATAAATTAAACAATCGCCACTGGGAAATTCCCTTCAAAACCTTTCTGTAGAAAGAAGGCTTCTTTTCAGTTCACCTTGGCGAGCCCAAGATTGCGAACCGCTTCGAATTCCGTTTTGAGTGACTTGCATATTTTTCTGATAGGGACTCTTCATAGCTTTTTTAAATGGATCCTTGTTTTATTGCCGTTTCCTGGCTGATGACTTGCTGTGCAAACAGCTCCAGAAAGATGTGCAGTTCATAAACCCTGTTCAATACCCACCTTTACTCTATGAATTAGAAGTCCGTTGAGTTGTATGTCTGGCAAGCTTGTCTTAAAGGTGGCCAAATGAAAAAATTGGGACTATGGCATGACATCCATTTTGAAACCTCCCTTCGCAAGCTGCAATTTCGTCCATACAGTACTCATAAATGACTTTTGACCCATGGTGATAGTTGCCCTAGCATACCCCTTATGCATATTGTCCTTTTCATGAGATTGTGACGTCTTTTGACAGGTATGAAAGCTCTCCTTTAGCACGGCAGAATTCGACTCTTTCCTCTGATCGATTGTATGACCCCTGCTGGCTAGTACAGCTTCAAGAGGTTGACTGATCCTGCTTGTTTGAACAATTTTCCGCTTGTGGAAAGCGCGGCGGACTTCGTGCTGCCGTCGAAGCATAATCGAAATGAGTGAGCACGAGCTGTGACCATGCTAAAGATGACCATATTCAATAATTTTGCAGCATTCAAAGTAAACATCTGTAGAGGGTCACCGTATTTCACTTCAAATTACATTTCCAGTGTACTCTGTTACCATAGTTGTAGCGCTCACGACTAGTGTAGGTACGACGGCACCATACGTAATGTACCTTCCACTCAAAAATCAAAAATGCTATGTTGAAAAATAACCGTATTTGTACGACTTCTTAGACCGAGGATTCAGTTTACTCGTCTTTATAAAAGCCTAAGTCGCTCGTGGTTCGCCATTGATTGAAAAATAATTTTTAGCAAAAATTCAACCTGAAACAGGACCTTGTACTAATTTAGATGAAGAATTTTTTGTAAGCGGTCTTGTTCATTGGCAGTTCGGCGTATTTGCACAGTGTTAGGAGCACTAGTAGACGTGGCCTTAGAGCTGATAACGACGCACTCTCGGAACCAAAATGCTGGCATCCGGCCACATCTTGTTTTTATTCGCTTTCTCAGGTAGGTTATATGCAACGGTCTTCTGAGTATTTGCTTCAGGTTTTCACTTAACGAATCGAAAATTGGCGTTATGTCGAGTCTGGAACTGTTTTCAAGGCAATCGCATTTTTTCTCCGTGAAATCAGCGTAAAAATTATCGGGTAGATGAATCCGGAGCGGAAATGGAAAATAAGAAGGCTTTAATCATTAAGCTAAACGAAACATTTACCTCTCCGATTAGTATGGCTATGTTCGGATTCTGCTAAACTTGCTTGCCCCTCAAGATGTAAACTTGACTATACTTTTTCTTTTGATGCCCTATTACCATAACCATTACGCACCGTAGTGGCCATCACTTCTTGATAAATCAATTGAATCAACTCCAATATTGCTGAAACACCTGGGGAGACAATCTATAAATCAGAAACAGTCAAGATTATATTAGGAGGCGTGGGTGTTGGCAATGGCACTATATCTTTAAGCATTAAATACATCAGTCAAAATCGCCTCTATAGAGCGATCCTTCCTCTCCAATATTCAAAGCCTTTCTGCTTTGAAGACTCTGAATACAATTGGCTGGCTCTCAAAGTAAGTCTGAAAGAGATTTCGCTTAGGAAAACTTATAGGTATTGTAATATAAAGAGGTAAATCATGAAAGAAGAAAGAAAGCTACTCCGAACAGAGGTCAGAAGAATGAACGACTTGTGCCGCCACAACATTTCATTTTTCTGAAGCTTTTTAATGTTCTATTATTAGTATCTCATTACATCGTCAGCCTCGTCAATTTGCTTTCTGACGAATTATGACGATATTCATCAATACAGAATTCCCTTTTGAGTCAATATTTGATTTTGTTCCATGAACATAGTGGAAATCGCAGCAAATTGAATATTGAAAATGGTTAAAATGACTGAGGCGGCCAACAATTCAGGGTTGAGCCACGCATTCGATTGCAGTTGAAAAAAGCAATTAGATCATGTTCCTAATATGACATCTACACGTGTTTTTTTTTCAGTTCTGTCAATAGGGCTGCTGGCCGAATCTCTCGATGCAAACAAGGACATCCACAAATCTCCTCCCGTTGCCAACGAGGACATGGCCAGGTGAGTGATAAAAAGCACTACGGTTTCAAAGTGTTCAACTGAGATCAGAACTCACGCTGGCAAGCGATTTCAATGTTGAGAGGAGTTTTGGCAGCCGTATATAGCGGAAAGAACGTTGAAAGACTAGTAGCTTCAGTCGCGACCAGGGCGCCGCTCTCAAATCTTCTTCTTAAAGGCATGCCCCAGGATCACATTGGTGTGGCTCTTGCACACGAATGCGAATGTATTGGTGCGAAATGGGCCGGCAGTAAAGAAAAGGAAAAGAATCCGTCGAAAACGCTTCAGGTTAAGGGCTCACTCACCTTCCTAATCGGCTGTGCTAAGGGAATGAGAGACTAAGCGCGGAGAGGAGAGTATGAGGCGAGAGAGCGCTACAGATGAGAGAGCGCCAGACAACAGCCTGATAAGAGAAAAAAATCTGCAGCTTCAGCAGCTTACTTTGCAAGGCCCAAGCGCTCTTGTCGGTTGGTTTCCGTGCACGGGAACGCCACATTTGTGATTGTCCTCTAGGGGTCTATACTACAGACCGAAGGGAAGCGTTCACACGACCTCTGCCTGGGTTGTGCCTTTAATCAACCTTCACCAACATGGTTGGTTGGGAAGAAGTACACCGTATACCGCCATTTATAACTGCGACTTGAAATTTGCTTATTAATGCTCATCAGGATTTTAATAAGTGTAGTTCGAATATGAAACTGTGTGCGGTACCCTGGGCAATGAAAGAAGCAAAAGAAACTTTCGAAACAATCTTTGTTTCACGCTTTATGCTTGACTTAGAGCACTGTACGAGCCAAGAGTAAGAGTTTAGGGTACCCACCAGGAGGTCCGCCGCGCGGCAAGATAGCAGAGTGCACCGCGCACTGTATGATTTCGCGTCAAGTTAAATAGAATGTAGCATTGTACGTCCTACACGCACATCACGCGCTGCGACTCGTCCGCTGACTCTGCCTTCTTGCCGCGCGACGGGCCTCCTGTCGGGTACCCAGGAGTTTAGGGCAAGGAGAGCACGTGTAGGGAAGGCGGGGAAACGAGGGGGAATAGGGAAGGGAGATATGCGGACAAAGCCTTAGCTGTCAGGAACAGCGTATAGGCACCCACTGGTGTCGTTTCTAACCCTAGCGATAACCCAAACGTCTCATATAGCAGCTACGCACTGTTTCAGTAGCTCGAAGCGGCGCAGGAGCTTATCCTGAATAAGCTTTTGAATACAACTATCACTCTTGGTGTCGCGATTTGACCCGAATTTCACAACTTGTTTAACAATTGCTAAACCATTTTAATATTGTCATTGCCTTCAGATTGATCAAAGTGGACTACAGCTTTGAAACAGAATCGGTTCTCTATGATGTGGTGGAGAATAAACCGAAGGCGCCGACGACATATGTGGCCGGAAACTTCTCCTTCGAATCGCTTCACCATGATCTCGAGGGCGGGATGCTGGGAAGGTACCGGGTGAGTCGTAATAATAAGGTTGACTTGATTGACCCTGGCTTCATGGTTTTTAGTCCGCTGATGGTGCTTTATTGAACCCCAGCATGCTAGGGTTCAGAAGATGGTTTTTTATTTCTCTACAATTTTTGCACAGCTTTTGAATCTTTTTTGTAAGTTTACTAGGTGGCAGCACCTATCTTATCAAGAAAGCGAAGCAATGACAGGACTTCTTCCTAGTTCAGGTTCCTACCAGGCCTTCGATACTTTTGATTGGTATCATATTCGTCTGTGCAGATGGAAAAACCCAAATACATCAGTTGGCTCGCAAGCCTGGCTTGCATAAGCTGAACACACAAACAAACGTCATCCAAGTTCCGAAAGGGAGCCAATTCAAGTGGGACCAACCAGTACTCATGCGTCATTTTTTCATATAACGCAGGAGCAGAGAAGGCAATGGCTAAGAGCTCGTATACCTTCTGAACATAAGTTTCGGTGGTAGATCGTTTTCTTGTGCAGCGAACACTCTAGGACCGTTTGACTTCGAATTCTCCGTGCGAAGTCAAACGTTTGGTATGGGCTTGTCTCAAAAAAAGGCTGTGCCGGAAGGCGACTGGCTCTCTGGTCAGGGTAAAGGAAAAATACCCTTCCAACGGCACAATCCCGAGAGCGATCGGATACGTGACATGCCCTAGCTTTAGATTGTCAGTGTCTACCATTTAATCAGGGGGGAGGTGGTTAATGGCTAAGCGACGGCCGCTTACTTACGCGACTTTTCCATGCAAATTAATGTTAGATCGTACACTGAAGGCAACAACCTTCAATACTCAGGGACAGGTTAAGCTGTATAATATTAGTCCGTGAGGGTAACAGTATCATCATTGGCTGACATTCGCACATTGCACTAGTCAAATCGCATTCGAATTTCCCAGGGTGGACTATAAAAATATCAATGGCCCTGTTTCATACCAATGGTGTCCCTCACGGGGCACTGATATTTTTTAGTCCACCCTGGGAAATTCCGCAAATCCTCGGACCCTACTTTTCCCCCAGCCTCTAGGACCTCTCTTTCACTCATACGTGATAATAATCACGCGGACGCAAACTTCGCCCACTTCACCGCACGTTCCCAGCCACAATTACAGTTGACCGACCTCCGCTGACGGACTCAATCCACTTTGTTCTCGGTCCGTAGGACTTCTTGGAACCGAGTTACAAAGTTTCGTAGATAACCTGCGCCCTCGTTGGTGCACGCCCCACCCACCAATAGCAGTTAACTTCATTTCCCTTCGCTGACCTCAATCCACTTTTTTCTCGGTGCACTTCTCGGAACTAAATTACAAATTTTGGGCAGGCTTTGCCCGCTTCAATTGCCCGCTTCAATGCAGCACCCCCCCCCTCAATAAGCACTGACCTTCCTTTGACGTATGACAAAACTTCACAACTGAATCCCTTTTTTCCCGTCTTTCCGACTCTTGAACGACTTATAAAGTTGGGTAGCAAACCTCGGCCACTTTTTGTTTGCGCTGGCCACCTTAAATCTGTAGTCTACCCTCACTCCTGCTCTGACCGTCTACCACACCTCCTCCTCTTACCTCTACCCACCTTTTCTTGGCTCTCTAAAACCCCTTGGAACCGAATTATGAGGACTTGTAGAAAAAGCTCTAGTTTTAACACGCTCCTCCCATTGTGGGCTGGCCTCCGCTCACGTCATGTATGTTGGGAATACAGACAGACATTTTTTGACATTGCTCTCCTACACCCAATTTGTTTTCTGCTCTGTAGGCTTTCTCCCAACCGAGTTATGAAATTTTTCATAAAGCACTGCTTTTTTGGAGAACGCCCCGCTCCACACCACGCCCACTGTGGAGCGCTTAGCTGATGTATGTTTTGTACTTCTCGAGACCTGGGCCATCCATCTCGCACTTGACCCGGTCTCTCCAGACGGAGCTAGTAGGGAATTTTGTGAAAGACGGACAGACACACACACAGGCAGACAGACAGAGCGCATTATATATTGTAGGGATACTCTTCCATTGTGGGTGTAAACATGAAATCCCGACGAAAATCAATTTAATGGATGTTTTTTAGCTGACAGTTTGTAAGACCGGCAATTGTGGCAACGTGCCGGACATCTATGTGTCATTCGTCCAGGGAGGAAACAATATTCAAGAAGTTCTTTACGATGCCACGTTAGTTTTTTCCCTCAGTTTGAGGGCCAAATCTGCCGTCCTTACTTGGCACGTCGATTGCGCTGTTGAAACCCTAAAAAGAAAGTAAAGTAAATGTGTTTAGGCAATTTCCTAACGAGAAGCCCAGGTGGAATTTTATCTTTGCTATAATAAACACCATTTATACGCCCGCCGAAAATGGAGCAGGTGATGACCAATTCGTGGTGAGTCGACGATTCACATACCCACACTAACCAGTGGGTCAACTCAAACAGAGACGACGGGAAGCCGTCCCATTCGTTCAATTTCTTCTTTCCTCAGACTATGCTTCAGATAAAAAAATGAAAGGTTCTCTATTTCAAGGACACTGTGTACGGAAAATGTCAAGTGCAGTTCGGTAGACCTGAAGACAAGCGATTCCGAAGAAAAATTAACAACTGCGAGATTAAAGGAGAAGTGTAGGTTTGAAACCCCAGCTATTCTGATCGTGAGAGGTGCTTGGAATAGCAGAGACAGGTTCCTTAGTGGTTTCTTCTGTTAGCGTATCAGCTGCTCTGAATAGGTCAGGTCACCTGGGACACCTCGAAAGATGGGGGATCTGGCGATTCTGGGGAAAGGACTCCATGCGAAGCGATCGGCTCTATGCCACCCCAAAAGCTTTTCCAGTGATTCTTTGACTCACCTGTTCTGAAACAGTGTCCACCGCCTGTTCGCGCTATTCGAGAGAGCGGGTAGCATTTGTGATTCCGGGAAGGTGGGGTCGCATTTTGGGGTTGAGCAAAGGTATAATGGTGGGGATGGAATTTATTAAGTGGGTCTGTGTTTTGACGGGATTTTCAACGAATTTGTTGGAAATTTTACGAAAGTAGTGAGAATTGGACAAATTTGGTGCATTTGCCGCTTCATGGTACCGGTTTACCTCCCACGATCGACGGCTGTTTTAGGGCAAAAGTGGGCTGGGTAGAGCTGTGTCGACTGGTAACGCCGTATGTTCATATTTGCCGCATCTCGGATTCCTAATTCTCCTCAAACAGGACCTCCCCGAAATCTCGATCTCGAGAGAATCTCCCTAACCCTAGACACATATAGTGAGTACCCCGAGCATGCGGCGAAAGGGACTGCTGGTTCCTCAAATGCTTATTATGAATGAACTTAGGGCTTTTTTTTCAAGATGAGCAACAAAGGCATCTTTGTTGCAGGAACTTCACTCGCATAGATGGTCTACAACCTGTGCTGTACGAACAAGACGTTTCCTATGTGTAAGCGTTTATAAGTAATGCCTTTTCGAGTAATGAACATCAGTTTCTGATATTGTTTTCATTTTTTTTCGAAGATACCCATTCAGGGGCTTGCCCCGATTTTATGATCGAGGGATCGTAAGGCTGGATTTTCCATTTTCATGGAAGGATAGATTTTTCAAAATTCAAAATAGCATGAAAGTTCAGTGCCTCTAGGCACTTCACTAATTAGATTAAAAATACACATGCCCCCTATACTACACCGTCACCCACGATTGGAGCCATATTTCACGACTAATCATAAGATGGGTGGATCAATGTGCGTAAGGGAGAGCTGTCGAAGATGGTGGAGCATGGTACGGATCGTGAACCGCGTGCTACTATTTCGCTGGTGGACTTTGCAGTTGTTGCTCGCGTTACAGTAATCTTCACGGTGGAGTGCTGCGTCGTCTGGCACATCCTCTATGCTCTCTTTGTGCCGTCTAATCACCCAAAGACTCACCACAATTGGGACCCTCAATCCTGGCGAAATTCAATAACTTTTCCGTTGATTCTTTTACTGGCAGTCCACTTCCAACTTCTGATTTCATTCTTGAGTAAAGCGACACTGACTGTGACATGTGCCTTTGAATTAAGAAAAACTGGTTGCGTGGGGAGATGAAAAAGGCGATTTCTTATTCGATTGTTGATTTATTTATTTATTTTATATTTTTAAAAAAGGTAACCAAGAAGCTACGTAAACAACTGAAAGTTTGCTCCACTTTGTAACCTAGACTTATTGACAAACAGGGTATTTGTAAATCTCAGTCCGAGTTCCAGGCAGAACACAAAAGTCGACGCCGATATCGTGATCATTGATGCTGTTGAACTGCTAAGATTCGGCACACCTCTGCATAATAAATGGGGATTCACGCTTGAGAGCAGGTGAATTCTTCATCATTTCAAACTTATAACCTGCAGAACATTACATTCCGTTCAGGACCCATGTCGAGATCACGAATCGAACCATGAATTACGTCCCTCGACACTGCAATTCGGAGACGACTACAGCAGCCGTTTGTGCAAGCGAGAAATTCGGAGCCTTGTCTGTTGGGAAGAAGCTTTACGCCGAAAAGTTGTACTGCGGAAAAGGAAAAATAAGAAGAGGCACAGATTTGCGTCCCTACTTGCTCAATGAACCTATCGTCTGTTTCCATTGAACGCGGTGAGTGCGGATCAAGGCAGTTAGATCGCGATCGCCCATACGTTAGTCTGTCGCGCGAGTCGTGGTGCGGGCGATCTTGGTGACTTATAAGGACAAGGATGATTGTGAAAGCAACTTTTGAAATATGATTTTGTACCACTTGATAGTTTTTGTATATTCGGCATCTATGGCCATATATGCTGACAGAATCCTAAACAGAGTCCACTAGAGGTTCTTCTGGTAACCGGATCAGGCTTCCCTGCTCAGCACAAATGCGAGAGCACACCACGTTGTCATGAGGCTCATCCTTAGTAACATAGAAGTTGTCATGTCGGTCCCGTGTCTGCGGGGGATCGGATTCTTAGCAATCGGGTCATTTGCATTTTTTAAGGAGTGCTCTCTTCATTTGAAAGCCACCTTCGGGTGGTTAGGAAACCCAAGTCTCCGCCAGACAATTGGCTGTAGGCCGAGGAAACGGAACTTCACGCTAAACAAGTTTGATTCGCTACTTTGCTAAAAAAAAACCTTCAATAAGTGGAGATGACGTACATGTTTAAACTTCATAATAACCGTTACATGAAAACATCATGTTTGTGCCCTTTTTCCGGGAACCACTGCAATGTGTGGTAAGCTCCTCAAGATAGCTCTGAAATTGTGCACCATCGTAACGCAAGACCCAGTCGTGTTTTGCGTAGAGCCGTGTCAGAGTTTGCGATCCGTCGCTCGCGGCGAGTCGCAACCAGCGGATACAGAAATCACAAGTGAATCCTGTGTAGTTACTTCCAATCCGCGCGCCATTTCTGTTTGATGGTGATGGTTGAATGACATCTATCCATGATCAAAGTTGTCTTATATTCAGTGTTGCAAATGTTCTAGGGCACTTGCGATTCTGCGATTCGCGCTAATCGACGGATCGCGAACTCTGACACCAGGCTAACAGCGAGGGCGACGTTTGTATTCAGGGGCTCGGGTCCCTCTAGGGATTCCTTTCTGGCCACGTTAGTTTCTCACCATCACACGGGCAAAAACCTTGTAGCCTTGGACACGGCTCCGGGTCAGACACTACCATCGCACTCAGCAAACAGATGACTGAATTCATCCCTTCCGTAGTTTCTGATCGTTTCGATGGAAAAGGTGTTGGCATCAAATTGTGTCTTCGCTAAAAATGCTTGTATTATTTGTGACACAATGAAGGCTGGCTCTATTTTCTTTCGATGTGATGAGTAACCCACAATGTGTGTTTTCACAGGGCGATTTGGATTCAGATTCTTCGAAAATGGCTGCTAGGGAATCTCGAACAGTAGTTTTTTAGGCTTCTCGTAGCTTTATTAGATAATCAATCGATGAAAATATGAGAGCACACTCAAATGTTGAAATAAAAACATTATATCATTTCATACGATGAATTGTCTTCTCAGAGGACGAATTTGGAGATTTTGTTAACCTCGCAGCGCATTTCCTGAGGTTACTAGCTACTCAAGAACGATTCACTCCAAAAGTCTTATTTCAGCTGGCCGATTTGGTTTCCAAGTACCGCAGTCATTTGTTCGAAATGGGTGATTCGCACACTTGTGAGAAGCATTCGACGATGTTTGCTGAAATCGTACAGGAAGGAAGGCGGGCAAGTGAGCAGGACTGGAAAGCGGTGTTGATGCATCCTGAGAATGACCACGTTCTGTGAGCATATGATTTTCCGCGATGTCGTCCCCCTTTTTTATAATATGTACACAAAAACATGTATCTGTGCACCCGAAGCTTACAACTAGCGCCCCGAGACCGATTTAGCAAAAAACGCTCCTTCACAGAACAAGGGAGGAGTTTAGCACCTCTCATAGCGCGTTTCTTGAGTTTCGGGTCGAGTTCCACTGAGGAATTTCTTTTTTCTGTGGTTGGAAGTGTGGAGTTTTTACAAGCCTTCTTGCCAAGAAGCTGACCAAAATGTATGGAACTTGCTGATTAAGGGAACGGACTCTAGAAACACCCTTTTCGCAGCCCTTTATCTTCAAGAACGACGGCAATTTTTTGAGGCGTAAGCGGACTGTGACGGTGAAGGTAATGGGGTGAGGAGAAAAATGGTGGTAGGATCAGTTATCGGGTAGAACCATTCGTGGTGGTAGATGCAATTTGTGTAATGATGAGGTGATGAGGTGGAAGAAGGGCCTGGAAAATCCGGAATTTGCACAACGCGACGCTTTTCCTGGTTCCGAGTAGTCTTGCAACTCCAAATTACCCTCTTCACGATTTCCTTAAAGGCAAATCCTGGGCTTATGCTGGTGTATAAGATCGCTACATAGTAATGGTTGAGCTGCGGAGTGAAGCTAAGGTGAGAAAGGAAGCAGGCGAAATCATCGAATACGCTAAAATTAAGAGCCTAAGCTTCCAAAAAGTAAAACAGGGTCGGATGTGTGCCGTGGACTGCGAGATAGATCGACCATGGGCGCAAACTTCGCAGAGCACGTGTCGACTTGATCTCCACTAACGCACGGTGAGTAGGGGCACGTTGTGATTGGTTGCACAGTCTTAACGTAAGCGCCCATAACGCTCAGCATTTTTGCCGACGAAGCTGCGGCGATCTCTGGTAGGCGCAGATCAGCGCAAGTTCTCCTCGCTACCGTCTTCCAGCTCCTAATCCCGGGCTTGCCTTTGAGCTCCCAACCACAATTGCCCCACTCATGAGCGTTTTTCCTTTAACTTACGCTGCGTTTTATCTTCCGTTTCAGCTGGTTGTTTAGGAGGCACCGAAGAGTATAAAATTTCGTTTGCCGGCATGTTTGGGAAATGTTTCTGGTGCGCTTGGTAATTCAAGCATCGCTTGAAAATTGCTCGTGAAGTACTGCTTGCCCAGGGACCCGAATTCCTGGACGATTATCTGCTTGGAGCTGCCCACACTACAAGCAATGATGAGAAATGGCATAAGCATTTGATGGTACGTAAGACGACTGCTTGAGGGCATTTGATATTAGAAAATGATGGACTTTAGTACTGGATGTCGACGGAAGGAACAGGAGGATGGCTGAGCTGGAAGTTAGCTCAACACGTTGGCCACAAGTTCTAAGAAAGCGATGCGATCGACATCCAACACAGCGTTATTCGGTCCGCAAGGATAAAACGGGTTGCGCCATAGTATCTACTTTGCTCTCCGTGAAAATCCAAATATATTTCCATGTTTTGCAATTTCCTTCCTATCTTTTGTTCCTATTCCACATCTAACTATTCAGATAGTTGCGAGATTTATCGCTGATGTCAGCGCATGCAAAACAGAGGATTGCTATGTGAAATCACTGGAGGTGCTCCAGAACATCCCAATATCGGCGTAAGCTTACTTCCTGTTGTTGACGAGGCCATTTGTTGAATGACAGCTTCACTGTTCCTCGTTGCAGATCGTTCGAACTTGCCCGAGGATTCCTTTGTACTTCCAATCACAGCGTGCCCGTTCAAACTGCCGCTTTACAAGTGATCAGAGCCGCCAGTCCAACACTTTATGACTCTAAGGTGGAAGTTTTTCACATAATTCTGAAAAATTATGTGTATAAACATCATACGATAAGGGCAAATCAAGAATCTGTTCGTGAGCTCCCTTCTTTTTAGTATGATTGACTACCACGGCCGTTTTTGATTGGTGTATTGTAGAGCCATCTCTCTGAAATCATTTGGACCATAAAGGCAGTACGGGTACGATGATTTGGCGTTGATAAAAATGCGAAATTACAGGTACCAGGGTGAGGCGAATAGGAAGAGATCAGAAGAACCGAAAGCCCGGGAAAAAAGGGAAAGGGACCATCATTGTAATCGTTTACTTCGTTATTTGAGGTAGATACTGCCTGTATACATCCATAAGGCCATGGGTTAGTGTCCCTGGCTTTGCCTATCCGATAGGATGTGGCATACAGTGGAATCGGGAATACGGCCGTTCCATCTACCATCAGTACTGTCTGTGTCTAGAAGTGCTCCCTGGAATTGTGGCCGAGGCAACCATCGCTCTTTGAAGGGTCTAGTTCTGCCTTGGCCAAGCACTAAATATTCCTCTGGAAAGTGATTGGTACTAGGTCAGATTGGAGGAGAGTGTAAATTAACAATGTCTCTCAAATGAATGTCGGGAATCACCCTCCTTACGATAGAAGCGTCGGGTAGGGTTGTGAACGTGGGAATATGAGTCAAATATTTGGACACCTTCTTATTCTCTCCTCTGATTCTCCTTACCTCCACACAAACGAGCAGCTCCTTTCACTTCAACGAAATTGGTTGGCTTTATACCGCAGGAGGCCGGCGGGGGGTAGGGGTTGAAGTCTGTCTCAAAAAACGAATATTTGTAAATTCCGTCTATGTCACGCTTCGTTCCGAATCCTAACCGAATTTTCACCGATTCGCCATAAACCCATCAAAAATTAATCCCCCTCCTTCTCCCACATTGCGACCCCTTCAATTTCCATAACCCCCTTGGAACTTTCAAGAAGGCCTACCTCAAACATGTGTTAACCCAATCTAAAAAATCGCAAACACGACCATATCCCTCCTGGCTCGATCGGACGGCTGGTTGACCCTGAATCCAGATCACCCGAGCCTCACAACCCTCTACCTTCCTGAATGGTTGTCCTGTGAACAGGGAACTCGCCCTGTAACCATACACAACAATAAATAAACCAGTCAATACATCTTCCAGTTGGCCAACACCCTCATCAGACTATTCCGCAACGTTTGTCCCCAACCAACAACAACTGGCGAGTCGCAACTAGCCATCGACATTCTTGTCAGGTAAGCACTGAGTGGAATCTTTTGCTACGTGAAAATTTTTCGAAAACGACTGAACTCGGAGAAAAGAAATAATAATCAATTTATAATTTGAGATGTATTCCTGAACAGCAACATGTTGCAACGATGCTTCTTCGTACGGAAACACTGAATCCAGATGATCCTGAAAAATGGCAGTATTATTTTTATAAAGCTGTCCAAAGTAGTGGACAGAGGGATGAGTTGGTATGTTCTGAGGATACTCTATTCATTTCCTGAAGAAGTTTTTGAGTTGTGGTCGATCTTGGTATTTAGTGAGAGTGCTGCCGCGGAGCCCAAGGTAGCGTTGAACTTGTTTTTAAGCGACAGTCATAGATGAAATTGGTGTGGTCGAACAGCGGTCGATAATGAAAGGTGAGCCGAAGCGACTGAAGTATTCCGACCTATCTGTCGTGAAATGAGAAGGGGCGGTGCCGGACGAGTTTTTAAGTTTGCTGGCTCCATGAATCCACTACTCCGCGCGAATTTGAATCGGTCACTACGCCGTAATCCACGTTGCGTGTCATGGGATGTGCGCGAACTTCTCGTCCGTAGGTTCACGATAGCCGCCCACTGGACCACTTCTAAGGTATTAACGCGTACTTTCTAGCGGCGACAACAGCTTATCTGTGATATTCTTGGGCTTCTCTATTCTAAAAGAGTATGGAGTCTTCAGTCCCAAAGCTATCTCCCTCTGGTTGTTGCTCTAAGAGGAGGACGACTTTGTCTTTGGCTAACCATCCGCAATCCCTTTTTTTGGAAAGGTGTGGCTCGCCATCAATCCTTATCTTTTTATTAGGTTGTCTCATAAACAGTGTCGCTTTTTTTCAATCCAAAAAATTTTCATCTAAACCTCCATGCTTTTACATCGTGTTGTGTACCATTCGAAAGAGAATTGTCTGCTCTACAAAATGCTATGTCCCACTTCCACATTTCTTCCAGGGTTTTCAAATTTTGGGCCTGTGAAATGGGAGGTCCGGCCGACAAAAAATGGCCAAACCGACAACTATCTCTAACATTATCTTTCCTTGGGAGAAATCAATCTATGATGTACCTTCTACTTATGCATGACCTCTTCTAATCATTACACTACTAGGTTTTCCTACAAATCGCGTCGTTCAATTTCCAGAGCTGGTTTTTCAACCAGAACTCGACGATCGAGCACCATTACCTGTGATCTAGGTCGAAATTTTTTTATGGCCGAGACGTTGAAGAACTGGTTGAATTTGAAGAACAAGTCATGACTAAGTTAGGAATGTACGACTGGTTGATTTTCTCATTTTCTAAGGGATAATTTTTTTCAAAGAAATGTGGTCACTTTCGCGGTAAAGCACCTTATACCGAAACATCTAAAATTCGAACTAATTCCCAACAAACAGAGAAACAAAACAAATGAGCGAGTAGAGCAGAAGAAGTGCTCGTAAAAGGAACACCACTCGATATGAAACAATGACGTTTACGAGGAACAATTTTAATTTGAAAATTGCTATGGCTTATCGGTCAGCCAATTCGAAAAGAAACACGGCAAAGCTTTTTCGGCAACCTAAGAGTGGAATGTTTAGAAGAGGTCATGGGTAAGTAGAGGGTATATCACTGGTTGATTTCTCCCCAGGGAAAATAAAGTTACAGCCAGTTGTCGGTTTGGTCAATTTTTGCCGGCGAGACCTCCCATTTTGCTGGCCTGAAATTCGAAAACTCTGAAATAGCGGTGGAAGCGGAACACAGCATTTTGTAGAGCAGACAATTCTCTTTCGAATGATATATAAAACGATGTAAAAGTTTCATGATTTAGATGAAAATTTTTTGGTTGAAAAAAACGACATCACTTATGAGACAACCTAATATATGGTCAACTGCTGTGTTGTTGAATCCCGAGCCAATTGACAAACCAAAAGTCTTGAAAGCAGAAAGTCCCAGATAGGCTAATCGAAGAAAATATCGTTCCGTGCGAATTTACGTGCGTTACTCCAGTTATGTAGTGCAATTTCGGCACATGGTCGCGCCACTACCAAAATATTTACACTGTACACTCCCCCTGCTCGTGAATCTTACATGGTTTAGCTTCAGGCGCGGCGACCCTGCGTGAGAATACTGAATTATTCTTTACAGAACAATTGAGTTACAAAAAATTGTTTTGCGGTCAGGGCAGCACAATACACCTACTGGGAACTTTTCCTTCTATGGTGATATTGCATAGACCGCGGCAATTTCCACAAGTTTATGTCATTTTGTGCAAGTAGGAAACGACGTTTTCAATTGTGCGTTGTTTCAGAAGGAGGAAGTCTGGCGCCAAATGCGAAAATTCAAAGTTTTCCGACCAAATTATGCACAACGTGCTTTGATTGCCGATTCACATGCACGTTGGCAGGAAATCGCTGGTGAGTTAATTGATTTCACTAAATACACAACAGTTGATCTTTTAGTAATTAGCACAAATGTAGAGCCTAAAGGCGGAAGTGGGAAGTGGCACAGTCCAAGGATCAAATCCTGGCTCATACGCCATTCAAACGGGGAATGCCTTCTATCTCTGCGGGATCTCTTAATTGATGAAATACTTGTCTTGTCTTGGAAGAAACAACACTGACTTGTACACTGGTAGCCCCCGCAAGTCATTGTATAGGCCACATCGCATTCAAAATGCCACTATGAATGTAAAATGGAAGTAGAATGCGCGGCACATCAGAGAAGGAATTTATTCAAGCCGAAAGCTGCTTCATACGCCCCTTTCTGGAAGTTAATTATTTTTTTCATTTTCTCAGTTCCTCAACTTTCTGAGGGATGTCATTCTCCTAACCGTCTTGCGCTTCTTGCTGCCTATTTTCCGTTTACCTGTTGGAATTTTTTATTCCTGTATATTCAGGAGACGACCCATGATTCCACCCCGACGTGCGCCGGGTATTGGTGGTGCCTAGCAAGCGTTCCTTTTTTCCATCTCCTTCAAATTGATTAATTCACTATCACATACTTCTTAGAGGGATGGAGGTTGTCCCAAATATGGCTGAAAATCACTGCCCATTTTGAGTATAAATGAAGCGCTCCCGCAAAAGCTCATATACTTTTCAAATGGGACTGGGATGCACGGCGCCTTTGAAGGAGTTAGCCAAATTGGACTCCCAATCGCTTAGCCTTAACTATGCTTGCTTCACGGATTCAATTTTTTCGAAAATCTGCAGCAATCACTGTTGAGTTGTAGAACCTACTGTTGCTTCCTTGTAGAAAAAGTTCGACAATGAGAGTTGTAAATAAAGAAAGAATTATCACGGATGCTTACAGATGTTGATGGATACAGATTGCACTCAACATCGGAGGTTGAGTTCGATTACGGAGTTTTCAAGCGATCAAATTTTGAGATTGGTTTGAAGCACGGTAAAGTCGACGAAAATCTCTTTAAGGTAAGGCTCAGGCTACTAGTAGGCAGGATCGTTTTGAG